AATATATAACCCCACAAACCATATCAAACCCACATTTCTTTTTTCCACAATACAGACATATTTACAGAACATATTCATATTTATACACACACTCATATGAATATACACACTTTTAACATTATATAGTTTCAAATAAAATTAGCTAAATGATAACACATACCCCATAGTAATATACACGCTTACAACATCAGATCGTTTTATTCCAAAAAGAATAGTAAATAATTCTTTTTAACAGAGACACATCCCCTTCCAGGAACCATGTTTAAAACTATAAAATGAAAAGGGAATTAAGAAAATGCATGATATAAATATAGTTTTATTTTAAATAACAAATTAAAAGAGATTGTATGACCAACTATAAGGATATGACCAAAATTCATGTTAAAAAAAAAAAAAAAATGAAAACTACAGACAAAAGTTCATTTTTCCATCAAGACATTAATTTAATGTAGTTCATTGCTACCAGCAAGCAGAAATTTTTTTTTCTCCTAATGATAGCTATGTTGGCCGAAACTAGTTCAGGAATCTAAATGAAATAATAATAAAAACAAAAGAATATTAATATACGACCCAGTATGTCTGATGATTTTAATTTTTTAATATTTTTAATTGTTCAAAATACACACACACGTATATATATATATATATATATAGATACACACACACACATATATATATATATATACACACATATATATTTCCATAGACACACATATGTATATTCTAAGGTAATAAAATGAAACCTCTGTTTTTTCTAAAATAGGGTTGAAGCTAATTGAATTTAATGAGTTGCGATCCTTGGTGTTGCAAATTTGAATTTAAGGACGCATCTTAGAAAAGTAACTATTTTCACCTGCTTGATTCAATTGTATGTTCCATTCTAATAGTTTTCTTTTGCCTTTGTGAAAACATTGAAAATAATTTGAGATTCCTTGCTTCCCTGTCACCAACAATCTTCAAACATTTGAATGCAATCTTTTGTTTTCCAGAACCCTGTTCTTTTATTGTCCTTCATCCATAGAAAGGTTTTCTCATTCTCTTTCACTCCCAGTAACTCCTTCAATTCTAGTGGCATTATTGCCGTACTTGGGGTGAAATGATAAAAAAAAGATATGTTTCTCTTAAATTCTGTTTTTTAAAACAAATTAACTGATAATATAAAGAATGTCATATTCAAGAGTTAATATACTAAAGATGAAGAATTCTAAATCATTTAATGATAAAATTACAAAATAAAATAAAAATTACAAGTTATCAGGTTTTAGGTTCTTTTAGGTTGACAGAACATAAAAAAATGTCTCTTATAAATTGAATGTTTTGGATTTAGTGGATGTGGATAAAGAAAAGTACAGCAAAATATTTTCTCCTTATAGAAATGACTGATGATATGAGTCAGACAATTATGATTTGGCTATTAAGAAACAATCAATTGGAAATCATTCAATTTTTTATGAATAAAATGAAAATGATAATAAAAATAAGAATAACAATACAATCACTTCATAATGTCTTGAATTTTTGAAGTCCAGGAATTGTTACATTTTGGTCAATCCAAACATGGCACTAGTCATTAATCTTGAAATAGGATTTTCTTTTCATTTATGAACAGGCTGCTAAGAAAATTCATTAATGAAGGCAAATAAACAGCTGATTTTTTTTTATTCAGGTTGACAAGCCACCAGGAAAATGCTTGCATTTGATGATATGGGAATCTTTAAAAAATCCTGTTGATATGTGGCAGTTGTAACAGTCTGTGTTCAAATCAGTCTACTAATAGTATCTTCATCATTACAGACTGAACAAGAAAAAGCCACTTCTTAAACCAGTCAACAATCAGAAGAGGAAGCAGTAGTTATCTTCATTGTATGGGTTATTATTGGCAGAGCAGTCAGAAGCAAAGTGCTACTTCTTAATTGATAAACATCCAGCAGGGGTAAATCAAATTTAGCAAAGCTCTTACTTTTTGCTAAGTTCTATTTCTCAATTTTTGGCAGGACAACTAGGGATCCAACCAAGAATTCTTTTTAACCTAATCTTGTAGTTCAGTATCAAAGCTGATAAATGTTTAGTTATAATTTGAGTATTAATTTGAAGCACTGGTCATTCAAGACTTCAGTAGTGCATGGAAAATATCAACAGAAAAATGCATTTCTATTCCAAAGAGAAGCTTCTTAATGTCCACTGATAATGACCTGGATAAAAAAAATGGTATTTTAATAGTGGTTGGAGCTCATTATCAAGCATAGCACAAAAAAATTGAAAGAATAGTTGGTTCAAAAACTATTAAATGATACATAATCAAGTGATTTATGAATCCTATTGAAATATATATTAACCATTTGGATTGTTAATAAAAAAAAATGTCCAAGAAACCCTTCTACAAAATATTTACTTTGTGTTTCTAATATAGCCTGGCTAAAATATTTAACAAGAGGAAATAGTTTAAATGATTTAATAAAGGATTCTTGTTTGAAAAGATATATATATATATATATATATATATATATAAAGAGAGAGAGAGATATTTACTTTTGCTTATATCACCAAAGTAATTCAAACCTAATGTGCTCATAATAAATTGCTTGAAAGAAGGACTTTTATACTAGCTTTAAAAACTCAAACATTTTTGCTTTACAGTCAGCTTTGTAAAACCAGCAATATATCCAGTTATAACTATCTGCTCCAAAATAAATGACTTCTGAAGCAGAATTTTGATGCTTTACAAATACAAAAATATTCATATTCTAAACATTAGTAACTCACAGTAAATACTTTAAATTCTAAATTTGATAAACATAATTCTCAACTATTAGTTGTATTCAGTCATCATGCATTAACATTTAGGAAATAAATACACTGAAAATCTGTTTTAAAAGATGTTTTTATGAAAGAAACATGAAAGTGAGTGAAACTCTGCTTATAAGGAAAAACTGCTTAGGTTGCTTCATTTCAGTGTTATTTGAAAATGGGAGGATTTTTATATCTCAGTTATCCATTGAAATACTTTTCAATGGTTACTAGATAAAAACAAATGTTAATTCTTTTAATGGAAAGTGCTTGGACAGCTGTACTTAGTTGTAAAGGTTTTTGGAACACTGACAAGTATGTTAAGAAATAATTCTTCTTAGCGGTCTAAAAGAAAAAAATCTGAAATGTTTTTTTTCTTCTATACTGTTTAGTCATTAATTACAGGTTAAATTGCTGCAGTTGAGTTCATAAACCCAGCAGGGGTCAACTATAGCAATCAGCATTAAGTATATTGTCATCAGGCACAATGACCAAAGCTAAGATCATCCTTAAATTCATTATCAAACAAGCCTTGACAATGAATACTTAAACTGTGGGTTATTCCAATTGTATTTATTATTGTTTTTACTTAAAAACCTCTTCAGTGACTATTTTAATGGTAGTGAAAACAAAAATCTTGATAAGAATGCACAACACTTAAAATCTGCACAAACGATTTAACTGCAAATTGTCTTGTGCAGTCTTCTATTTGAAATTCTGCCAATCTTAGACAAGCTAAGAGGAAATATTTTTTTAGGTATAGTTAAGAAAAAACACCCAAGAACAAATTTTTGATCAAATCAATATATGAAGCTAGGATGAACTTCAAAATATATTTCATCAGATTTTAAGAAGTGTGTTAAGCCAAGAATTTTTCAGCACCCTCTTGTGTACATGTCTGGAAGACACATATTTTAAAGAGAAAATGGCCAATCAAAAGAATGTACGGCTTAAGTTATCTATTTTGAATAAAGTAGATTTTGTCTATTAAAGTAGTTAATTTTGTTAAAAATTTTCTTATTAACAAACTGACAGTTACTCATGTTTAGTAAAAAAAAAAAGAAAAAAAAAAGAAAAGCATTTTGTGATATTGGTTTAAAAATTTCAAGTTCCTAACCCACCATTTTAAAATTACAATCTATCTAATAACTCATATCACTTTTTAAAGGTATTTTGAAAGTGAATGCTTTTTATAATAAAGGAAAATTTAAAAACAGCTAAAATTATTTTCCCTCTTTTTTTTATTTAGCTTTCTATTATAAAGTGCAGATATAGCTTTAAATTTAATAAAATAAGAAATTTCCTGATGTCCATAAATTTGCAAACTATTTTCAAAATATCGTAATTTTATTTTTTAAGTTGTGGCTAAAACATTACATTTTACAAAAATTTAGGTTTCTCAGAAAAAAAAAAAAATAGGTTAGTCAGTTAACAATTTAGAATATTAATATAATCTTGCAAAAATAGATGATAGAAAACCAGAATTGGTAAAAATTGGTAATTAAAGAATAATATTCAGTAGCATATGGTATTTTATCGGTATTGGCAGTGCCTTTTGTATTGTGTTGAACTTAATAATCTGACATAAGTATTATTCAAAAATAAACTTGAAAACTTTAGACTAATTCTTCTTAAATAATTCAAAAAATTAATATTTGAGCCAAAAAATCTGAGACAGTTTTTAAATTTTTAACTATTACATGCCTCACATGCCTAATTAATAAAAGAAAAAAAAAATCAGTGTCAAACTTTTCAGGTATATTTTTTTTGAAGGTTGTCTTTATTCACCCATTCCAGTTTTTATCCCTGTCCCATTATCCATTAGACTATTCGAAATTTTGTCCTTGCCTGTTACCCATCTACCCAGTGGCATATCATGATACAACTGGCTTTGGGATGTACAGTGTCACAATACAACTATCACCAAAATATTTCAGAATAGGGAACAGAAAAATTAGTTTTCTATTAAAATCCATGATTAACGAGTGTTCTTAATATTCATGATCAATTTACCACCTGGTGGTGAGCAGTGTTCATCTATCCCACCCAGAAGATACAAACCTGGCAATGGTACTCTTCAAAAGATTAACATCATGATGAGTACAAGTCACAATGAAGAACAACATATTGTGTTAAAGTTATATAGATGACAACAGTAATTATTTTTAATAATTCCCTTGCAGTTCTGAGTATTATTGTGTCAGATGAAATTATCAAAGAGTTGAATGCTTACCACTTGCACAGAAGATACACAAAAAGATGAGGAGGAACATACACCAAATGATGTCATGGTTAATTTTGCGCTCAAGCTTACTTCGTTTATAACGTGGTCCCCTGTTATTGAGCATGGCCTTTGTTTCATGACCTGAAAGTTAAAAAGCATTGATGTAGGTCAAGTAACAGTAAGAGAAGAAACAAATTTACTCAAGTAAAAAAAAAGGGGGGGCATGAGCAGCATATAATTACCTGTTATTAAAGGAACAGAAAGTTAGAAAATAAAACTTTTGCATGGCAAGAGATATAGCATAAAAGAGAAAATGCAACATTTATTTTCATATTAATCTTTATGCTGAAGAAGTTTGAAAGAACAACATGTAAGCAGCAACACTATACAGGAGACTATCAATTGGGATCATTATTTTCATCCTTACAACACATTCTCTCGAGTTTTTATAATTAGCCATCATAACTGATAGGTCATCAGGTTGGCATCATGCAGTGTCACATAGTTTTCTTGCCAGATTCTATCTTACATATTTATAAATGGACCATTCTACTTTGCTTTGAATATTGCTGCCTCATCTGGTCTGGTCCTCCTGAGATTCTTGATAAAATCCAAAGAAGAATCTGCAATGTTATTGGTACTGACCTAGCATCTCAGATTCAGTCACTTCCCCACCACCGTAATGTAGCTTCCTTCTGCCTTTTCTATAATTACTTTCATAGTAATTGATCTGATGAACTTTCCTCTTTGGTACCTAAACTTTATGAATTTAAGAGCAGTATTAGATTGGCTGTAAGGTCTCATCATTTTACAGTTGAAATGGCTAGATGGAACTGTAAGTTAAATGCTAATAATTTCTTTTCTTGCACTTCTCACTTGTGGAACTGTTTTCCATCTTTTTGCTTTCCATTCAACTTTGATCTTAAAAAAATTTAAATATAATTTCAATCCTTATCTTCTGTCATCTTAATTCCTCTCCTTTTATTGTTCTTTCTCCTTAACATTTTTTTCTCAAATTTTTTCACTAAGTAAACTCTTGCATCTTAGTGGCTTCATTGACTTTCTTAGGATGAAATGATTAAAAAAAAAAATATGTATGTTTTGAACAAATACTAGTATGTCCCATGTTTTCCTTCTTGCAAATCTTATTTTTCTCTAATGACTTGTGAAATGGGAAGTAGATATCTATAAAGCTGCTGTTTTTTCAGTTGTTCTAGAACAATCTACCCCAGTGGATGAAATAAAGGGTTCAGTTCAAAATTCCAATCACCTGAAGAAGGCCAGAGTGTACAATGGCCAAAATGTTGTGAATATGTCAACAAAGATGAGGACAATAGTCTGAACAATGTAAATATTGTAAATTATTTTTGTTAGGTAGTTTACTTTATGATTTACCTAAAACCTACAAAACAGACATTTTAATGTGCTTGATTATATATGGAATTGGAAACAATACCCACCCACTGGCAAAAGCCATAACAAAAGTTTTAATTCCCTCCTGAACAATCAACTCATCACATGTTAAGCATTATATTACCCATTAAAACCAAAGAGAAGTTCTTCTAACCCAACCAATTTTTAAGAACTTATGAAACAGATCTAAAATATATGGGAGATTATATAATGGAATTATTTTGTTTTTCACTTTTTATTTCATATTAACACAAAAGGTACAAAAAATTAAATTTTAGTTGAATTTACAGATGCAAAAAAATTACTCAAGCCAACTAAAATTATCTATATCTATGAACATTATTAAAAAGATAAAGAATATGTGTGTGCATGTGTGTGTGAATGATATTATGTTCAAAAATTTTCTGAATAATAATAAATAATTGAAAAATAACATTGATTTTAATTTAACTTGGGTGGAATCAGAACATTCAGGACAACTGCAAAAAATTCCTAATGGAAGATAAGATTTAATTGGGAAAACAAATTTAATGTCAGAATAGTCAAGACTAATGTATTTGGCAGGATTTTTATATTTGTCATACATGGCAATTTATTATATCCAAATTATTTTTTTAGGGATAACCATTTTCAGTTACTCTGCTGATAACTGAAAATGTGCAATTGTGCCCATAGTGGTTGTCTTTCTGTGTTTATGTTCACAACTGGTAATTGTCAAAAAGAAACAAAATTGAAAGTAAATATTACAGAAATGAAAACGTATCAAAGCAGAAAGTACAAAACAAGGTGAAAAAGCATTGGTTCCTGAGTTTGGTGACATAGTGATTGTAAGTTCAATCCCTGTTCTGGGTAGTACAGACTCAGTAGAAACAGGACAAGCAATAACTCTTCTTCTAGACATAGACAGTACAATGAAAACAGTTTACCTCATGGATTAAAGAAAAGGTTCACTTTGAAATTTCCAGAAGGTTACCTGGATCAACAGACATCTGAAGAAAGATGGATGGTACAATGGGTGAAATATGATAACCACCACAAAGCATCCCAGAAATTCAGGCAGAAGTTGTAGAAGATTTTGACATTAAAATAACAAAAACCAAGCAAAAATGAATTTCTTTTTCTAGTTTAAGTATAATTATTATTTATTCACTAATAGAAAAATAAAATATTTATGCTGACTGCCTTAAAATCAGGCATGTAAAATGTGAATTTGGCACTCTTTGGAAATTTGTTTTGTATTTTATTAATAGCTTCATTTTTTTTTCTTCTATCATACAGCATGAAATGTCTGGCTAGTTCATCCTTGTGACATTAACATTTTATCAAAAACTTGTTATTAGCAAGTTCACCTTATGAGAATATAATTCAGTTTTTCTGTTTTTTTCCTCTGACACACTGCATCTCTGGAGAGAGATTCAGGTTTGGGGCAAAGTAACAGTACAAAAAGGACTTAATTTGAGATTTCAAAGGGTTACTGAAGGTGAAAGAATATAAGAAAAGAGTTAGTGAGGAGAAAGGACAATAAAAGAACAGCATTCAGAAAAACAGATGACAGTTGATGGTGCACTTAAATTTTTGAAGATCATATATGACAGAGAAGCAAGAAGCTGGAGAGAGTTCCACAGGCAAGAAGTACAAGAGAAGAAACTATTAGAATAGAACTTATGGTTGCCTTGAAATATTTCAATAATAAAATGAAGAGACCTGGTTGCCAATCTTGCTTAAATTCATGCACTTGAGCTACCAAAGAGGAAAGTTCATCAGAACAATTGCCATAAAAATATTTCTAGAAAAGACAGTGGCAAGTCATATCAAGATAGTGGGAAAGTGAGTGAAGTTGAGATGCCAGGTCAAAATTGATAACACTACAGACTCTTCTTTGGATTTTTGTCAAGAATCTCAAGATACATAGCAGGAGCACCAGACCAGATGTAGCAGAAATATTCATTGTCCAATTGTGGATTTATAGATCTGCAAGATGGATTCTGGCAAGAAGAATTGTCTGGCATGACACAGTGAACCAACCATCTTAGAAGCAGACTAGCAATTGATTCAATATAACCATTCCACTTCATGTCAGTATAAAACAGGTAACCAAGAAAGTGTAAGGAGTTGCCCTCCTGGAGGTCAGCATCAGCCAAGCTGATAGAAAATAAAATAGTTCTCTAAGATGACTAAAAGATAGTAGTTTCATTTTGGAGGCATTAATATTAACAAGCCATTTCTTGTCACAGATAACAATTGATTGAAGGTCATTTCTGAGATCAGCTGTCAGTTACTTTGTCAGATCTATCAGACTTACTATTAAGACCAGAGTAAATAGTTGTACCATCAACATAAATATCAAGTTGGCTATTATAAAATATTAATAATTACAAATTTATAAAAATGTACTAAAGCATTGGCAATGGCATGTATATATAAAATTCTGTGACTTCTGTTAGCCCATTCATTGTACTCTTTAAAATAGCCATACATTGACTGATCAAAACCAAATTTTGGGGAAAATTGCAATCAGGTAAAAGTACAGTTGGTTTTACTAGTGTGCATAACTTAGTACAATAAATTTTCATTAATTTTTTCAAAAAAATGAATGAAAATTTAAAAAATGATTGGTTTGTGGAACTTAACAAAACAGAATTTGTGAATCTTGATAAAAATGTTAGTAATAACTTAAAAAATACTACTGTGAGGCTTTCAACACACATTGCCATGTTCTTAAAATTCTAGTTAAGAATTTGTTTCAAAATAGATTCCACATGTACATAAATATATGCAAAAGAAGCAAACTTATTTGTATATGTTAGATAAACTATTGACTATCACTTCCATATAAAAATAGAAAGTCACTTAATATTGTAAAACAATTTCCAAAAGAATTTACTGTATTTTTATGATTTCCTATTAAATTTCTGTATTAAATTTATTGAAAAATATTAAAGATTTCAGTGTTACAGATACAAGGAATCTAAGGAGTTCTTTTTTTCATTAGAAACATAATTGTTAGGCTAAAAAAGAACTACTCAATTTATTAAAAGTAATTTAAATAAATGAATATCAGTCAGTAATTGACCAAAAGATTACCAACAAATTACCATAAATAAAATACATTCAATTGTTTTCCTTCTTTCTCTCACTTTTTGTTTAAATTCAAAATTAATTATATACAGTACTTTTATTCTAAATAGTTTGAGAGATACTGAGAGAAAACCAAAAAACAAATTAAAAGTAGCAAGGTGTTGCATTGAGAGATTACTACTGACTATTTCACAAAAGAAATGCCATTCAGAATGTACAGCTAACTTAACCAGTCAATTTAACAAAGCAATAATAACCTTTTATTTACTACTTGCTAGTTTTACAAACGTGACTTCGTCTACACAGGCATTAAATGAGTATTGTAAATAAATTTTTAATATCAAAATGTGACACTCAAATCTTCTTTGTATATTTCTTATTAATACAATATTTTGGCTGATCTATTAGTCATCTTTCATCAAGTTTAATCCCTGAAACAAAGAAAGCCTTGCTCAAGAAAAAAATAGCATTGTAAATTGTTGATTAATGTGCCCACTAGACTAGTTTGTTTTAACAATGTCAAGCATGCCAAATACCCAGGTGATTCCAAATTAGACACAAGGTAGGTGTTCCCAAACATCAACTTTGCTAAGCAAAGAAAACTCTATAGTAGTGAAATCCATACAAGCTTGACTTATGCACCTGGCTCA